AGCGCGTGGGTGGGTCACAGGGATGGCAAGGGCTGTATGGAATCAGAATCGTTTAGGTTGGAAAAAGACCTTTAAGATCATCAAGTCCAACCCTTAACCCAGCACTGCCAAGTCCACCACTGACCTGTGTCCCTCAGCACCACGTCTACCTGTCTTTTAAATCCCTCCAGGGGTGGTGACTCCACCATGTCCCTGGGCAACGTTTGACTTCCCTGGTCCAGCGCTCGATTCCCCCTTTCAGTTAAGATCTTTTTCCTAATGTCCAATCTAAACCTCCCCTGGTGCCACTTGAGGATGTTTCCTCTTCTCCTGTTGCTTGTTATTTGGGAGAAGGGACTGACCCCCACCTCACTCCACCCTCCTGCCTGGGTGGCTGGACATGTTCCACGTGAGGATCTGAAGCTACGATTAAGTGCCAGTGTTAAAGGTGTTGGTCTGGAGCTGGGGTGAGGCCAGATGTGCTCCAGATTAACACCCACCACCTTTCCTTTTCCCCCCTGTGCCCATCAGGGGCAAAGCTCCTGCCTGCCTGAGCAAGGAAGACTTAAGAAATCTGCTGGATCAGAGATCCAGGCTTGGATGGTTTTCACATTGCCTTGGTGAGGATGGGAGATGCTCTTTAAAGCAGGTCAAGGAAGAACCAGCAGAGATTATTCCTATACAAAGGTCCCAGCAGAACTGGAGGCCAGAAAGCAAAGATTAAGGGCAGCTGTTCAGCCTCTGCAAAAGGTAAGAGCCACCCAGCTCAGGCCAGAAGAGGGAGCTGGCAAAAAAGGTCCATTGACCCACCATGGTCCTGCAGAAGAGGACAGCACAAGCCAGGGGCAGGGGAGCAGGTCACCCTCCCCCAGCCCACAACTGCCAGCAGGGTCTGGGTTCAACTCCTGAGCCAGGAGCACTGGGATGCTGCAGCAAGCAGCCAGGGAGGCTTGGAAGGGGTTGAAATAGGATGGGAATACCCTCCAAGAGCAAAAGCTTTCTGCCCCCCAGCGCAGCCGGGGTGTCCAGCTTTGCCCTCTGCTCTGCGAGTCTCACGAAGGTACAACAACAGGGGACAGACACAACAGAGCTGCCACCAGTTTCCATGGTCCAAAGCACCAGAGAACGCTTCAGCTATGATGCCCAACCTTTATTTTTCTGGGCTTTGGGGAAAAAAATTAAAAGAAAGCAGCACCTAAGGCTAGAGGAGGCGATAAAAAAAATCTGTCCCCAAGAACAGGGGAAGCTTAATGTCGGGGCAACGCTTAACTGACCGGGGTGGGGGTGTGTTCCCTACGAGGGGTAGCAGCGACCAGCCAATGCTGTTCAGATGAACATCATGGAGACAAGGCTATGGTTTATTTAAACATAAATGCAATCTCTTAAAAAGAAACTAAAACCCCACAGTCTAACCCCAGCCTTTGATGATGGAAGGGGAAGGTAGCAGGAAAAGGTGATTTAAAAAGAAAGAAAGAAAAAAAGGCACTTAAAAATGATCTTCAAACGAAAAGGGTTTTGCACAGACCCGACACCAGCCCCGGGGAGCGGCTCAGAGCTCGACGGCCTCTTACACGTGGGCTCCGGAGCGGATTTCACAGCGAGGCAAGAGGCAGACGGACATCCCTTCCCCTCCCGCCCGTGCAGCGATGCCCACTCCCTCACAGCAGCAGGGAGAGGCGGTCCCTCTCCCCTTTTTCTCGATGCTGTGTTGCCTGGGATGAGCAATCCGCGCGTTCCCGAGGATCCATGCCAAACCCCCACGCAGCGCTAACGCCCCCCCCCTCCACCTCCAGGGCAGCGTGAGGCTAACTAGAACGAGGCCACCGTGGCAGGGGTGGGAGGAAGGAAAACAAAAAGCCGACAGGTACGTGTTAGTCAGATGCTGGTAGCCAGGAATTGAGCTGGCACGGGTGGCCCTCACCCTCACCTGCTGCAGGTTAAAAGGCAGCTCCGAAATTCGCCGTTAGCTTGTCCAGAGAGCGAAGCAAGCAGAAAGGGTTAAAAAAAAAAAAAAGATCCAGCCAAACCCTTTCTTCCCTCCCCTCACCACCCCGAGTAAACTACACAGTAGTCCATTAAGTGGCAACTTTCAACCAGTCTTCCAAGCAAACCTTTCAATATGAAAAGGTGAGGAACACAGACCCGGGGAGGCGGGGGGTGGTGGGGTGTTTCAAATCACTGCACCCGAAAAGCTGCGCAGGCAAAGCTTCCCTCGCTGCCCCGTGCGACGTTCCAGCCGTCTTCCGAAGCTCCAAGAGGCGGGAACATGCCCCTGAAACACATGCAAAGCCTTCAAGCAGAAGGAGGTTTTGGGGTTTTTAGAGAGGGAGAGCTCAGCGGGGCGTTAGGGGGAT